TTATCATAGACTTTAGGTATGTCAATCAAAGATGTCATACATTTGGTTTTGTAGGTAAATGGATTCCATGTAGTCAATCAGACAGTTTTGTAGGTAAATGGATTCCATGTAGTCGATCAGACAGTTTTGTAGGTAAATGGATTCCATGTAGTCGATCAGACAGTTTTGTAGGTAAATGGATTCCATGTAGTCGATCAGACAGTTTTGTAGGTAAATGGATTCCATGTAGTCGATCAGACAGTTTTGTAGGTAAATGGATTCCATGTAGTCGATCAGACAATTTTGTAGGTAAATGGATTCCATGTAGTCGATCAGACAATTTTGTAGGTAAATGGATTCCATGTAGTCGATCAGACAGTTTTGTAGGTAAATGGATTCCATGTAGTCGATCAGACAGTTTTGTAGGTAAATGGATTCCATGTATGTCGATCAGACAGTTTTGTAGGTAAATGGATTCCATGTATGTCGATCAGACAGTTTTGTAGGTAAATGGTCTCGATGTATGTCGATCAGACAGTTTTGTAGGTAAATGGACTCGATGTATGTCGATCAGACAGTTTTGTAGGTAAATGGACTCGATGCATGTCGATCAGACAGTTTTGTAGGTAAATGGAATCCATTTATGTTGATCAGACAATTTTGTAGGTAAATGGATTCCATGTAGTCGATCAGACAGTTTTGTAGGTAAATGGATTCCATGTAGTCGATCAGACAGTTTTGTAGGTAAATGGATTCCATGTAGACAGTTTTGTAGGTAAATGGATTCCATGTAGTCGATCAGACAATTTTGTAGGTAAATGGATTCCATGTAGTCGATCAGACAATTTTGTAGGTAAATGGACTCGATGTATGTCGATCAGACAGTTTTGTAGGTAAATGGATTCCATGTAGTCGATCAGACAATTTTGTAGGTAAATGGACTCCATGCATGTCGATCAGACAATTTTGTAGGTAAATGGATTCCATGTATGTCAATCAGACAGTTTTGTAGGTAAATGGACTCCATGCATGTCGATCAGACAATTTTGTAGGTAAATGGATTCCATGTAGTCGATCAGACAGTTTTGTAGGTAAATGGACTCCATGCATGTCGATCAGACAGTTTTGAAGGTAAATGGATTCCATGTATGTCGATCAGACAGTTTTGTAGGTAAATGGAATCCATGTTTGTCGATCAGACAGTTTTGTAGGTAAATGGAATCCATGTTTGTCGATCAGACAGTTTTGTAGGTAAATGGACTCCATGTATGTCGATCAGACAGTTTTGTAGGTAAATGGAATCCATGTTTGTCGATCAGACAGTTTTGTAGGTAAATGGAATCCATGTTTGTCGATCAGACAGTTTTGTAGGTAAGTGAATTCTAGGTAGTCAAACCTCCCTTAAAGGCCCTTTATACAAAGGCCACCTATCTGTAAAGGCCATTTTTGGATCCCTATGAAATGCAATTCACAGTAATCAAAAGACCATCTGTGTATAAAAGTCACTTTTGTCTGCTCCATTGAGTGGCCATTACAGACAGGTTTGACGGTATGTCAATCAGATAGTCAGTTAGTTTTGTAGGTAACTCCATACAGGTTGATCAGATAGTCAGTTAGTTTTGTACGTAACTCCATACAGGTTGATCAGATTTAGTTTTGTACGTAACTCCATACAGGTTGATCAGATAGTCAGTTAGTTTTGTACGTAACTCCATACAGGTTGATCAGATACTTAGTTTTGTAGGTAAGTAGATTCCATACAGGTTGACCACAGAGTCAGTTAGTTTTGTAGGTAAGTAGATTATAAATACATGTCGCCTTACTTAGAGTGCTAATCAAACAAATCTCAGACAGAGGATTGAGAAATTGGACAAATTATAGTATTAACGTCATCTTGAAAGCAGTGGGGACACTCTTAACTATGCATGTCTTATCAAATCCATGACAATAAATAGGATTTCTTAAGCTGCACTTGACTCATGAAGTAATGACATAAAAAAGTATCCTTCATACTTCCAGACGTACTTGTTACCAGGTATGGTTGCCGTTTCCAGGTGTGATATACCTGTAATGTGCTACCTAAAACAAGATTTTACTACCATACACATCATGTAGTAATTTCAGAATACTGGAATGTGATTTGAAATGTTCAAAAAATTTCCGTATGTATGTAGGTATTTACTTGGACAAGTGTTATTTGCTGATGTCTGAGTGGGTTTGAAAATTAGGATCTCCTCCATGATTAGGTAGTCAAAAATATACAAGTCTTATATTTGTTTGTTTTTGTCATTATTTTCTTGTATTATGTTAATTTCTACTTGATCACTGTGACAGTACAAAACTGTAGTTATCAATATCAATATTAATTGACCAGGAAAGTTTTACTTTAATGTAATTACTACATTGTTAGATACAGGTCCTCAGCTGATCAATTTACATAAACGAACATGCCAGAATGAACTGTAAAATTACATGAGTCAGTCGTTAATAGAAAAATCAATTTTGTTATTAATGGTTTTACTGGATGCTACAAGATAAAGATTATAACAGTTAAACAAGGCAGTAAGAAACATCTAGTTATATAAAACATAATACTGTTCCCTACAGATATCTACAATGTGAGAATCTATTTTGTATTATGAAATGAACTACAGCTAAACACACAGGTTTGTAATAATGTAATTATCATGTCTACCTTGACCTTTGTTCTTTATGCTATGTTGTCTACCTTGACCTTTGTTCTTTATGCTATGTTGTCTACCTTGACCTTTGTTCTTTATGCTATTTCATCTACCTTGACCTTTGTTCTTTATGCTATGTTGTCTACCTTGACCTTTGTTCTTTATGCTATTTCATCTACCTTGACCTTTGTTCTTTATGCTATTTCATCTACCTTGACCTTTGTTCTTTATGCTATGTTGTCTACCTTGACCTTTGTTCTTTATGCTATTTCATCTACCTTGACCTTTGTTCTTTATGATTTGTTGTCTACCTTGACCTTTGTTCTTTATGCTATGTTGCCTACCTTGACCTTTGTTCTTTACGCTATGTTGTCTTCCTTGACCTTTGTTATGATACTATGTTGTCTACCTTGACCTTTGTTCTTTATGCTATGTTGTCTACCTTGACCTTTGTTCTTTATGCTATGTTGTCTACGTTGACCTTTGTTCTGTATGCTAAGTTAATTGTTATCTATGGTATACATTTAGCAATGTATTAACAACATTTGTAAACTGAAGGAATCTGAACCTTATTGTTTATCAAACTGATACATTGTTATGTATTGGACACCATTCCTATACCTAGAATACTGCCTGTATTGACAGCATTATATTTACCTGTCTGTAATGCTTTATATTGGTTGTCTATAAATATCAGTATATATTATACACACCTGCTTATTACATTGGTTACAGTTATAAAGGATTCACAACACATGCATACTCAAGAATGTTTCGCTCAATTTTTTCCCAGTCATATTTTTAATAAAGATAGATTTATTTGCTTCTTTGCACCTCTGCTATAGGCTCTTACCTGTGTAAATTTGCATATTATGCAATGTCAATTGTTTATAGAGGTGTGTACAGGTATGTTTTATTGAAAGTAGGGACACTGTTGTCACTGGTGAGATGGTACACATGGCCAGCAGTCAAAACATGTACTTATCAGGTATATATATCAAGTCGGCCAAACTCTGGCAATACCAATTTTCACAAGTTAAATAAATATCTGTGTACGGTGTGTTTGTATGCTACACCTGATATGGAATGGTAGTTTTGCAGCTGAGTACGAAGAAGGAAAACTACAACTGTATAAAGCTTGTTGACACTATGGTGGAATTATTGTTCAGACAAGACAGGTTGTCAGATTAAACAGGTAGCACGAAGGCCTATATAATACTACTAATGGTTGTGTTGGGTTAGGTTCATAATACAGGAATAACTATACATGTATGTACCTTAAGTCTGAAAAATGGAGATATATATATATATTGATATGGAAAAAGGATGTCTTTAGGACATCAGATATAATGCTTAGCTAAGAAAGTATAAAGGGTATCCTGACAGTATAAAGGGTACCATGTGACTGTATAATGTGAATCATGTGACAGTATATTGGATATCATGTGACAGTATATTGGATATCATGTGACAGTATAATGGGAATCATGTGAGAGTATACAGAGTATCATGTGACAGTATAATGGGAATCATGTGAGAGTATACAGGGTATCATGTGACAGTATAAAGGATACCATGTGACAGTATATTGGGTATCATGTGACAGTATAAAGAATGTAATGTGACAGTATATTGGGTATCATGTGACAGTATAATAGGAATCGTGTGGCAGTATACAGGGTATCATGTGACAATATAAAGGATACCATGTGACAATTAATAGGATATCAAGTGGCATTTTATATTATACCCTGTGACAGTATAAAGAGTATTGTGATGATATATATGGTACCTTGCAATGGTACATATCATATCATGTGACAGTATATATGATATCATGTGACAGTATGTAGGCTATCATGTGACAGTAGATATGATAGCCCCATGACATTATACAGCGTATCATGTAATAGTTTACATGATACCCTTTTTAGAGTTAATTTTTGTTTGACAGGAAATGCTGATATGATATCCTGGGACAAACAGATAATCAATATCTGACAAAAAATAAAATACCACAGAACAGTATATATGTTACTATAAGACATTCCAACAACAATATGTGTATTTGTATGATATTCTATGAAAAATGTAAATTAGTTATTCAATCAATAAATACATGTACAAGATTTGATAACAGTGAGTGTGATATCATTGGGCACATATAAGCTGTAGCCGTGATAGAGCATTCCAGACTACCCTGTACCTATATGTCTGAGCTGTGTACCCTCCCAGTGTGGAGAGTTCTACCCTCAGATGAAGGACAGTGCTGTGAGTGACAAGCGAGGAAACTCATTCACAAAAATCAGCTACACTAACTGTGTTGGTATTGGTTTACAGGGGAGGCTGTGAGGTAGGATGTGTAGTTATAACTGCCACATACACACAGATCTGCTCAGGTGTTGGGACTAATACATGGAAAGGATGCTGGACCGCTGCCTCAGTGTACTTCTCATACTACAGGTAAGTCATTTATATCTTGCTGGATTACAGTCATTAATGAAAACATATTTCTTTAATTGATGACATTACCTCAAATTTTATTAAGATAAATTCTAACCCTGTTTTGTGTAGAAGAATATTTTCTGAGATAAACATTCATTTTGTCAAAATTTTCAGCTGATTTTTTAAGCATGATACACCTGTACAAAAATCTAAATCAAGGATCTTCTTTACCTTATGAATATGGATATTTACCTGCACATTGGGGACTTAATACTTACACACGTCAACACAAAACAGGTGTATCATAATAACCAATACACTAATTTTTTATGGCCTTTTTTCTATATTTTCAAAAATAATGACCATTTTGGCATGTCAACTAGCGCGAACAGATACTGGATTAGAGAACTACATAGTCTGTATATCACTTGTTAGGTAAGAACTTAAATTGGTGTAATTTTTCTAACAGTAACCAGCAAGCTATCCTAGCTCTAGTGAAGGACAAATGGGACAATATATGTATTTATCAGAGAAAATTTACATAAAACTTCTAAAAGAATTTGAAAATAAGAATCATATGCGTGTATTGAATAAACAGTAACTTGTCCGTTAATACTTTTTCTAAAGAGCATAATGTAATAGAAGATGGTATATATTCACACAGATAATGTTTTTCTGTATTTTTTACCTGTAATAAATCACTTTAAGTACACCTGTAAATTTAAGCTGGGTTGTAGATCTATCAAATCTGATAAGAACCATTTTTATTTTAACATTTTGAGAATGTTAGAGAACTGATCAGTACTCTCCTTATTTTCTTACTTATCAGTTTGAATGAAAGCAAGTGTTGATACAAACATTCAACTCGATAAAAATGAAACAAAATGGAAATAAACTGTTTCCTTATCAGCAGTGTAAGACTTTAAGCACTGCACCGTGTTGTCGTAACATACACATGAATAACTCCCATGAATGAGACTTTACCTGCAGTACATTAATAATTAGCAAAAGTGTGTAAACTTATTGTAACTATTACTCTATATTCTGGATATCACACAGGTCATAAGTGTGACATAACTACTCAGTGACAAGGACCAGAAAATATACTGAAATGCATAAAATTACAAGGATTTAAAGTCTCACTTTCTCGAGTTGAAAGCAACCACAAGTTTTAAGACAACTCTAAAGGAAGCATGATTTTAAATGATTTGTTATTTGGCCTATTTTCAAATAACAGAAATACAGGAGAGAAGATGAAATTTTCACCTGTTTCACACACACTAGAACAGATGACCTCTTGACCTGTTTCACACACACCAGAATGGATGACCTCTTGACCTGTTTAACACACAGCTGAACGGGATGACCTCTTGACCTGTTTAACACACAGCAGAGCAGGATGACCTCTTGACCTGTTTAACACACAGCTGAATGGGATGACCTCTTGACCTGTTTTACACACAGCTGAATGGGATGACCTCTTGACCTGTTTAACACACAGCTGAATGGGATGACCTCTTGACCTGTTTAACACACAGCTGAACGGGATGACCTCTTGACCTGTTTAACACACAGCAAGCAGGATGACCTCTTGACCTGTTTAACACACAGCTGAATGGGATGACCTCTTGACCTGTTTTACACACAGCTGAATGGGATGACCTCTTGACCTGAATAACACACAGCTGAATGGGATGACCTCTTGACCTGTTTAACACACAGCTGAACGGGATGACCTCTTGACCTGTTTAACACACAGTAGAACATGATCAACTATGACCTGGTTTCCACACAGTAGAACAAGAACACCTCATGAGCTGGTTTCCATGGTGTAAAACAGTGTGACCACCTTTTTCACATACAGTAGACAAGGATGACCTCTGACCTGCTTCACACACAGTAGAATTTCTGACATGTTTTACACACAGGGGAAATCTGTATTATTGACTAAAAGTAAACTGATACAGAATATTAGATGTGAAAAAGGTATTCTATTTCTGCTGCCTTGTGTTTTCTGCCCAGCATAGCAGTGTTTTCTGTGCTGTCGGACATCATCTTGTTCAATAATTAACAGACAAACAAATTGACATGCATGTTCCTAATCTACTCTTGTAGAAAGGATACATATATATTAATTTGTATCCAACAGCAATGTTGGTGAGAGGAAAATTGTTTATGAACAAAACAGAGGTTATATACATCTAATACACTGAATCCATGATTGAATATCAAACTCTTTGTAGCTTTGACCAACAACAAATTTGTGGTGTTTAATGCATGTATGTTTAATAGCTTGTATTGTGATATGTGTATCCAAGTATGATTACAAATCTGTATCAGAATTTGTCAATACAACTTTAAATCAAAATAATAGAACTGAAAGGTTATGACCTTCAGAACCTTGAAATCCTGTTTGTCAGAATAAATTCTGACATGGCACCTTTTGAAATATTTTAATGTACATGTACTGGTTGTACCAAAACCAGTGATTTTTGGTATTTGATAACAGACATGGTGTAAGGTTACAGCTCTCTCTCATACCTGTTTACTGAATAAAGTATAATACCTTCTTTTCATCTATGAAAGTATAAATACATTTTACCTATATGCTGGTCACCCAGAAACAGGAAATACCTGTTGTTATAATCATGGCTAACGTTTACACATTCCAGAAATTAGAAAGGTAACATAAAAAATATTGAGATGTTTTGTTACAAATATGTTTATTGTTTGGATCCTGGTACAATAAAGAAGTCTTATTCATGAAACCATCCTGTCATTTGATTTTAAATGGGGTAAACCATGTAAGATAGCTCTGTAGCAGGTATTTCATTACCTACAGATACCAAGTTAAAAGGAAACTGTTCAAAAGAAATTGTGACTAATAGTAAGGCCTAAACGAAACAATATCTTAATAGTTCATCATTACCACCCAAGGCTTCTGTTTGACAAAACCACAGGGAAAGTACATCATAAGTTTTCGTTAATTTTAGATAATTACACATGAAGGGTATTTTATAGAAAGAAAATGTTTCAAGGCCATGTAGCACTTGTGTATGGGTCATCACCTTACACAAGGGTCATCACCTTACACCAGGGTTATCACCTTACACAAGGGTCATCACCTCACACAAGGGTCATAATTCTATACAAGGGACATCACCATACACAAGGGTCATCACCTTACACAAGGGTCATGATTCTATACAAGGGACATCACCATACACAAGGGTCATCACCATACACAAGGGTCATGGTTCTATATAAGGGTCATCACCATACACAAGGGTCATGATTCTATATAAGGGTCATCATCATACACAAAGGTCATGGTTCTATATAAGCATCATCATCATACACAAAGGTCATCACCATACACAAGGGTCATGGTTCTATACAAGGGACATCACCATACATAAAGGGTATGGTTCTATACAAGGGTCAACACCATACACAAGGGTCATCACCATACACAAGGGCCATGGTTCTATACAAGGGTCATCACCATACACAAAGGTCATCACCATACACAAGGGTCATGGTTCTATACAAGGGTCATCACCATACACAAGGGGCATGGTTCTATACATATTCTAATATATTCAATATGCATTCTATGTACCAGGGTTATAGTTATATTCATATACAAGGTTCCCATTTACAAAGGGAAACATTTCCTTTGCATGTATACTCAAGGATAACTGATCACCTGTTGGTGTAAGTTGAGGTCATCAAGGTCAGGTTTTCTGTTTTGTTTACATGTTATATACTTCTGATTCAACATGGTTGTGTACAGTAGAGCCTGCTGTTAGCATCAATGACAACATCTGTTATTATCCACTTGTAACTGTATTTTTATGACATTTGTACAGCAATGTCTCCAACATTTATATTTTGAGTTTATGAATATACAACTTAATTCTGTAGATGTGTACAAAACCCAGTAATGCTGTGGAATATTTACTTTTAATCATTAAAATGAGTTAAAAACATATCACATGAAATATAAACAGAGAGTGAATTAACCGTCTGTGGCATCATTATAAATGTTGTCAATGCAGGAGAAGGCTTTCTTTTACTACAAATGATTTTGTTTTACTCAGGATCTCATTTGTCAGGTTTCAGTCTGATTGTAAATTCAACTGGAAGGCATATAGTCTTGATATCAAATTTTATAATCCTGCTGCCAAGTTGTGAACTTATATTACAAATGGACCAAATACAAATCCCAAACACATTGTTTGTTTTTGTCCGTAAATCTGAAATGTACCAAATGATTTAAACATTTCTATGATTGTGATTGAAAAAAAACGACACTTTTTGAAAATCCTAGAAATTACATATGGAATCAAAGTTTTCTGTCAGGGGATTGAGACTTAAATTATACCTGAATTTCCAACGTATTGTAATACCACAGTCACTGTTTCATAATCTAACCAGGCATTGCGTCCTCTGTTGTCGTGACTTGCTGCGGAGATATATAACTCCTCCGTCATCTTGTCAGCGTGCAGTGAGGCAGACGGGTTGAGTGTTGGATAGCATAATCCATCTCCTACACATAGAACAACAAAACATTATGGTGATTAAATGTAATTATCAGTACCACATATCATCTCTGATATATAGGTTTGGTCGGATAGAGTTTTCGGTGCACTTTGTTTCAATGGGAAAGGGGTCTAAGCCATGAAGCAACATCCCTTTTCCTTTTTCAATGTTTTCTACAAATCATTACCAGTCATAAATGATCAGGTAGATTTTGATCAAATATTGTCTAAAGCAACCTTAGGGACTTCGGGAAAAGGGAAAAAAATTTAAAAAAATGGTTGGTCTGTTCTCCCCTAGGACCTGAAACGCCAGGCCCAACTTGAAGAAATTTTGCAAATTTATAATATTCTTCTTAGTAGAAGTAGAAAATTTTATCCAGATTATGTCTGAAACATCCATGGTTGAAGAGGACTCAAGTTTGTCTGACCCCAATATTGGCTGAGGGGCAATGCCATTTTGAGAAATAGAGGATT